CTAATTTTCTGCTTTTACGGCCCCCCTCCTGATAATTATTGCACAGTCCCTTAGTATCCTTTTACCATTTGTGACATTGGAAAGAGATAAAAATTAAGGACTATTTTTGGTTGCTGCACCATTTTCTCTGGCTTTGATGACACAAAACCAGGGGCATCTCGCGCAATTTTTTTTCTAACCGCAAAGAGGTGTATTCTAGCTACTTGACACGTGATCAATTTACAAGTCCACTAATTTTCCACAAAATACCGATTCTGATTCCATTTCACTTTACAGACTTAAGGAAAAATACAAGCTACCGCAAGCAGCCATAACGGAAGTGATTGCTGGATATGAAGCACTGTGGGAAGAGTCAAAGATAGCAATTTTGGATGGTTTACAGGAAGCTAGGTCTGTATGATATTTATCATCGCTGTTGCTCTTACTTTTGTTTTTGTTCTTTGTTTTCATTCATGGTTGTGACGAATGTAACTATAATTCAGATTCGTACGAATATGTTGCTATTATTTCTATACTTTTTGGCTTCTAAAATAAATCACATTGTTTCTGTTGCTGTTACTATCATAATATTTATTTCATGTGTACAATCAAAATGTATATCTTGTATATTTCATGACGATTTCATGACTGACAAACGAAAATTGTGTGTAATTCATCCCAACCCGGTGGACTACGTACTGGTGCATGCATGTTTTTTATGGTCTTTTATGAATTTATAGGTGTAGCTTTTAGCACCTTGCAGTAATATTATTTGTAATCAAGTGTTATTTATATTCTTAGTTTTGTTCATTATCATCTTCGTCCTTAACATTATCATTTTATTTTCAGTAGATATTGTAATCATTATGATCATGATATTAAAGTGCTTATAATTCATTGTATACTAGAGAGGAAATAGATGAAGAACACACAGAAGCAGTTTTGGACTCAATCAGACCTTTCAAAGACTTGGAAACGGAGTGGCACCAAAGCTCATACTTTAAGTCACACTTTAACTTACTGGTAAGCCATTTATGATTTTGCTAGCAAGATAGGTGAAGTTGATGGTCAAAAATCGCCTTGTTAGGATTGGGTATCATGTTAATCATTCCCAAAGCATAACAGTTTATTCTTGGGTTTCACTGATCACGTGATAGTCGAAAAAAGCTAATTAGAGGCCGAATTAGCGAAATTGTATTATTAGAGAGAAAATCTAAATTAAAGACTCGTCACAGAAGTTTGAGCCAAAATAATGCTTTTTAAGAGAAATACGAGCGATCGAAAATTGGTAAGAATGTATCGGATCATCACGGCTCAATGACTGGTGAAGAAACACCGGCAACTTTAAAAGTTTTGTCTTAAGATCCAAATGAATTTTTTATGTCCAATGCCAAAAAAGCATATAATTCACAACAGCTATGCCAAATTTGAATTCGAACTGTAATTTTGTAGCGAAAATACGAGCACTTGGTAAGGTCTTACTTTACAAAGAAATGTATGGCGGACAGTAACTCCGAGTGTCGAATTGAGATTAAAACTAATGATTTTGCTTTACCTTTACAACAATATGATTATAAACATTTGATTTGATGGTGAGACTATACTTATTTTGAGATTAAAGGCTTTTCGAGGTTTTTTGCCGTGTATCAAGTCGCGTGACAGTATTGCGTGACTTATTTTTCAACGTTTGTAACTCAATGAATAAACAGCGAAAAAAACTTAAAACATTCAGATAGAATTTCTACCATGCTATTCAAGGTATTTTAGTACTACAATGTTGTTTGTCTGTGATTTTAGATTTTTTTTCGACTAATGACGTCATGTGCAACCCAAGAATAAAAACCAGAAGAAATCCAACTTGAGGCGTATTACAAAATTCGGCAGGACGTTAGGGGTTTTCACCCTTTTTATATTGTGTACTGTGAGCTTGAATGTACAAACAATACCAACACATTGCATAATAGGATAAGAGTAATGGATATAATGATAAGAGCATCACACTATAATCACATGGGAATGCAGATTCATAGCATGTTTTACGTTTGAAGGAACCTCAAAGAGAGGACATATCCGACTCAAGACCTGCTTTGAAAGGTATAGGTAAAAAGCGCAAACTGGTTGAAATTAAAGACTTCTTCCATCTTGTTCCTATAAAAAAAACCCTATCTGTTTTCCTCGGGGATGAAGACTTCAGAAAGATGATACTTCAGAGCAAAACCTATACAACTGACAACAACACACTGAAATGTATTGCTGACGGTGCGCTCTTTAAGGGACACCCAATCGTTTCCGTGAATGCACAGGCAATTCAACTTGTTTTATACAGCGACGAAATAGAACTTGTCAACCCTGTTGGTAATGCCGTTAAGAAGCACAAATTAACCATGGTATACTACACAATCCAAAACATTCCTAAATACTACCGCAGCAAACTATGCTGTATTTACGTGTATGCGGCCATTAAAAGTAAACACATCAAAGAGTACGGCTTTGATGTGGTTCTTCAGCCACTCGTAAAAGAATTGCAGGAGTTGTCGAACGAGGAGTGCTACATTGACCTCATTCCATCCCAAATTCCCTTTCCCATTCAAGTTACCGTAATGGCCTACGTTGCCGATACGCCGGCTGCCAACCAAGCCGGGGGTTACAAGGAAGGGGTCGGAGGAGCGCTAAGGAAATGCCGTCACTGCGACGCTGATGACGAATCAATTCAGACATATGTATTCGAAGATGAATTCAGTATGAGAACAATAGAAAAACACCTAAAGAGATGCCAAACATTAGAAAAAGCGCCTAACAAAGAACTTGCCGACCACTACAGTACTACTTACGGAATAAACCGACGATCACTATTGACAGAAATACCACACTTTGACGTATGCCAACAGATACCACCTGACATCATGCACATCCTTTTGGAAGGTGTCATTCCACTGACCATTCGACTATTACTTTCACATTTCACAGAAGACAGACACTTTTTCACCCTTGACAATTTGAACTCTAGAATTAACGGACACAACTACAACTACCAACTGACAAGAACGAAACCTAACATCATTTACGCCAACCAACTATCAACAGACGACCCATCGACAAAACTTAAACAGACTGCATCTCAAATGCATGTTCTCTTAAGGCTTCTTCCTTTTTATATTCACGATTATGTTGACCTGGATGATGAACACTGGACCCTTCTGAAACTGTTACTGGCAATAACTTCTATCTCATTCGCAAGTAGTGTAACTGTCGAAACTGTTTCTGATTTAAAGACTAAAATTGCTGAATATCTCACTCTCTTCAAAAAATTATTCCCAGACACACCTTTAACTCCGAAGCAACATTTTCTTGTACATTTCCCTCGTTTTATTCTTACACTAGGACCTCTTGAAAACCTGTGGGCTATGCGCTTTGAAGCCAAGCACCAATACTTTAAAGAGCTTCGTCGTGTAGCCAGTTACAAGAACATAACATATTCTGTAATGAAACGGCATCTGCAAAAGTCATGCGCAGATAGGATAGGGGGTTATATGTGGGAGGACGTGCAGAAAGGCCCTTTAAAGGGACTTGTTCAGTTCGAGGGTCTTCTTCGCAGCATTTCAGGACAGGTCTCCCTTGAAATAAAGGATGTCACCTCTGTGGATTCGTGCCGTTGGATAATTATTAATGGTACCAAATATGTGTGCGACGAATGCGTGGTGTTGATTAAGGACGAGGACGAGGATGAGAGTACTACATTTGCTCAATTGACAGAGATGTACATTTTGAATATCGGCTTGTTTGTGTTTGCTGTGATACCTTTGGATACCGTCTGCTTTGATGATGACTTGCAATCATACGAGGTTCAATTCATTGCCAGTTCAAAAGTCTTCACTTTTCCAAAGGATTTGGCAAGCTACGAAGCTCTTCATATAATAGATCATAAAGGCAAGAAATATATAAGCCCCAGAGGATATCTCGGAGACGTTGTTTAATGTCCCCTACTATAAGTTACATTGGTCAGTATTGTGGTGCGAGCAATACTCTTTTAAAAAAATATCGGCAGATGTTTGTAATTTGTAAATAATTTCATATCAACATAATCAAAGGAAAACATTACAAAATGCAAACAACAGAGAGTGCTAATCCAGCATAACATAGGTACAGATTAGTTTTGTGGGTGGGAAAATGACTTCCATTTATAATTAGTTTTAAAAAGCCAGAACTGTAGACAACATTTTGAAATAGTTGTCATTGCTCAAGGTGGTAGTTCCCCTTTGTTATTAAAACATAGACACAAATAACTTAAACATCTCAAAATTATAATTGACAGAACAAAATCAAACTATCGATTATATGTATCCAAATATATCCTAAAAAGTCTTGAAATGAAATTGAAAGAACAATATTCAATAACTTCCAAAATCAATGTTTTTGTAATTAAATTCAGGCACGTAGTTGGGGGAGAGCACAGGGTGCACGTGTACCCCCCCTCCCCCCCCCCCCATCAGTGCAAAAAAGTCCGCTTTTATCAAAAAAAAATTGTTTAATCACGAAAAAGAGTCGCAATGTTACTCATAGGTCCGTTTTTTATTTGATGTGCTCCCCCCCGATAAATCTTCTGGCTACGGCCCTGGAATTAATCATAATTATATACTTATACTGTTATATATTYATGTTCATGTTCATTTATACTTTAGAAATGCCTGTAAATCAATAAGGTCATGCAAAGAAAGTTATCTTTAATCAAAATCGAGACGATTTGTTATGAAAAACGACCAGACGACTGGGGATGAGCACCTTAAACGATTATTAGAAACATTATACTATCTAAACTAGTAAAATGGAGGAGTTTTATTTTCTAATGTTGAATATCGGTGGAGAGCTACGAGCATTTGAAACAACCTTTCAGACTGACTCATTCTAATATGTTCTTCCAACAAGTATGAATGCTATATTGTACAACTCATAATATATGGCGTTATGATAGCCACGCCCTTTCTCATATGCTCTATGTGARATGCATGCAAGGTCATTCATTTAAAAAACGTTTGATCAAAAAGTGAACTTGGTCACATTTAGGTTTGAAATGAAGTCTCCTTCGGTGTCAACTTCGAGAAAATAACATTTTTCGCCACTAGGCGAAACTTGCTGTAGAATTAGTTAAAGGTCATTCGGGGTTTTTGAATAAAAGCATTTCCTTTACAGTTGCTAGCACTCAGTGGATCCCTTCCTGGAATCGAACCAGTACCCCTTTCTATTAGGGGCGACCAACAGGGATAGTGGGCGTGAYAGCAACTGTAGGATGTTTGGAGTTTATAGTAGAAAATCCCAGGGGTGCCCAGGGGTAGTTTTTCTGGAAGTGAAGAACAAGCGAAAGAACATTACTCGTGGGTTCCCGAGGATGTACTCATCCCCAGCTACAGAGAGAAAAAACTGCCCATGGCCTTTGACGTCGTTCCTCTACCCAAGAAGAAGCCTATTGAAGACATACGCAAGCATTTCCTCCCAATCTCCCTGACTCCCAACTATTCAATTACCGTATTTACTCCAATAGACGCCCCATCTGGGTGCGGCGTTAATGTGAGGAAATAGTGATACCAGCAATGGGAATTTATTTTCTTTTAGAACATTGTTATTTGGATGTGACTGTACTTTTTTGCTCTCAGCAGCAGTTAGATTCCGACCACGAGGAGGGCATTGATGTTGAAATAGAAGTTTAACCGCAGCTGGATCGTGAAAAATGAAATAAACGCCGCGGCGTCTGTTCGAGTAAATACGGTAGCTAACAAATACAACCAAATTTTCGATCTGAGGGATGATACTCGTCACGGTGTCACCTTGTAGGGGCATTAGAAACCCAGGTCGCTTTTAAGGTAATCCACTGCCTTTCTTCTCGGGCGGCCTATGATGTAGAAGTTGCGAAATATATGCCTGAATCATATGATGGCATGATGGAGGAAAATGGATTTACCAAACAGGAATCATAATATCTTTTGATGAAAGATACACAGCCTGTCAATGTATAGTTGGGCTRCCTGTGGATAGTTAAAACAGGAAACCCGTCAAGAACGAATTTTATTTAGTCGAAATCATGCGATATACAGTATTTTATTTTCCTGTTCTCAAAGACTAATAATAAATAATCAAACTTTTTGATCTGGTTTTGGGGTAAAATCTAACGTCATATATCGTTAATTGTTTAGTCTCCTCGCACCCGTTCGGCTCCTGGTCCCACAATCCCTTTCAAGAATTATAGAATGTGATGGCCACTACYAAATCAAGCACGTCATATTTTCGTTTAAGTGTGCTTTACTTATTAAAAGGGCTACTTCTTTCTTGACTATTCATTGGAGGGACGTACACTTACAGCAAGGGAATAAGTTCTTATTCCAAGAAGGTATCTTCTTACTTTAAGTGCAGTACACTTAAACACATTTCAAGTGCAACCCGAACACTTGATTCTAGTTGGGCACTTTTTGCAGTGCGATTGTTGTCTTAGCACGAGTTCAACAAGAATTCTAGCCCTTTTAGCGTTCACAATGCTTCCAAGAACCAGAATCATGATTTGATGTCTTATCTGAGATCTGTTAAACGACCTAGGTGAACTATTTTACACTTTGCTGCTGGAAATCGGTGAGTACGAGTACATGTATTTCAGTGTTTACTATAGAAAGATCTTGAAAGCTTGTGGAAGTCAAAACGTTCTATTTCGAAAGAAGTAAACATGATTAATGAAGAAAATTTTGGTTTAGTCCTGTGTTAGCATTAGGTTTATGTTTTGGTTAGGTTTAGTGATGAAAATCGTGATTTAGTTTCGATGCCGGGTACATAAAATATGCACGTGAAACTATTCACACTGCACAAGGAGTATAAAGTGTAAGATCGGTTCGGTGACTTTTTTGACCTTAGATTATAATGATTAAATGAACACTGATGTGTATAGTAATATGGTATCTTCTCTTCAACAGTTCTGCGCAAGTTTAAGTCAAATCAAAGAAAAACTCGGCAAGATGACAGCTGAGTACAACTTACTAATAAGTTATAAAGTTGAATGCTTATCTGCATTTGAAAATTCACATGTAT